CTAAGACCTAAGACCTAAGACCCCCTCCGAATCTAAAAACGAAGACCTAAGACCCTTTAAGAATCTTGTTTTTGAGATGCGGAGGGGGTCTTTGGTCTTCAGTCTTAGATCTTAGGTCTTTGTTTTTGAGACACACCCGACCAAAAGTCCTTGGAGCACTTGAGAAAATATAGCACCTCATGACTCAAAACGGAAAGGTGTGAAGTCTTAACTTAGTTTTTCTGACCGACCCTAAAGCAATGTTAGAATCCTTAGCTTTTGCTGGGTGGACCAACATCAACATTGTATTTAGGGAGGGGAGGGGGTGGTCAAAACAAACACAATGTGTTTGTAAAATGGTTAAGGTAAAATCTTAGGCCAGCATGAAAGGTCTGGTACGAAATTAAATGGAAAATGCTTACTCTATCCTCATCTGAAAAAGGGCAAGGGTTTGCCCCTTGAGAACTGGGTATACACTCAGAAAAGATTCATAGAGTACTTCCTTAACAAGTGTTTTATTTCCCTTCAGGATGAACCTATGTGGATTTTTGGTGCTTACGGCAATTCTAATGACTATTTTAAAGACCTATCGGCCATCACAAGTAACATCAATGACAATCTGGCCATGAAAGAGGTCATTATTGTGCAGAAGAGTAACAAGAAAGAAGACAGTATAAAGCCTTGGCATAAAGTGCTTAAAGGTATCAAAGGTACTTGAAGCCCTGGGCAAACAATTGCAACATTGTTGGGTGCAACATGTTGCGACATGTTGGGTGCTGTTGGCTCAAATTTGACCACTTTCAAACTTAAACTTGAGCCAACAATACCCAACACGTGGCAACAAGGTAACCAAACACGCAACATGTTGCACCCAACAAATTATGTTGCGATGTGTTGCATTTACATGTTGCGATCATTTGGCCAGGGGAGTACTGTCGTATATGGGCTATATGGGTATGTGCCGCTGTGAAGGGTATGGTTTTCAAGCAGTTTACTCTAAGATAAGGTACATAAATCAGAGCATTTGGGTCTAGAATAGGGTATTATTTTTCGCAAAACTGACCAGTTGGTTTAAGATTTTATCTAGACTAAGGAAACCAGGAATTGCCACTCAAAAATATAAAAAAATCAAATCAGTAAGTTTAAATTTACACAAATAAGCCTCTAGAGTCTTGGTAGATGGGGGAATTTGGGGAGTTTACTCTAGTATAGTGTAGCAAGATTCAGCTGAACTAGCTCTGGTTTAGGCTAAGGGTTCCAGGGTGCCAGCGGCACATCCCTACCCAGAAATTCCCAAAGTACCCCCCCTGGGGGGGCTTAATGCATAAGTTTATAGACAAAATAATAACAAATGAAAATATCATTTCAGTTTAGATGATCTGACAAATACTCAGAGATACAAAAATTATGCAAATGAGTTCTCATAAGCTGTGAGTTCAAGTTTGATCTGATCTAACAAGTTGGAGAAATAATGAACACAGCAGCTCTCTCTACGCTAGATTACCAGCCACTGCTCAAGAATCAAAAAACAAAATAACTGGAAGCTGTTACTTGAAGTAAATTTTAGTAAGAATTCTACTAAAACAATGAGATTATTCACTCTCGCTTTCTATGAGGTGATAGTTGATTCGGCCTTTGGCCTCATCAACTATCACTTCATAGAAATCTAGAGCTCATAATCTAATTGTTTTGTTTTTTTTGCAATAGTAGCATAATCTAATTGTTAATTACAGTCATTCCTGAGTTGAGAGTAGAATTTTTCTTTAAAAAGTTTCTTCAGCCAATCTGCTTTTTGGTTTCTCAATGGCTCAGTGTAGCTTGATCTGTCCACATTCATGGGAAAAAAAATATATTTTTAACTCCGATTAAGGTGAATTGTGAAAATTAGCCACTAAAACTTTAAAATTGACTAAAAGCAGATCAGTTACACAAAAAAACTCCTCAGAAAAATATCTACAATGAATCTCAAATGCTAGTTTAAAAAAAAAATCAATTGTGTCTTGAAGTAATACTAAAGGACATTCATGGGGCTGTTTCATCTAGTATACTGTGTTTTATTATAGAGTGGTTTTCAAGTGAGTGTCATAAAACCAAAACCAATTGAAACCAATTACTAACCAGTTAGACTGCTCACTCAAATCTCAAACCATAGTAAAACCAAAACCAAAACCAAAATAATTAATTGATTACTTTCGACACTCAATTGAAAACTGCTCTTAAAGTCACCAACTTCTTCAATTTGTTAATCTATTTTTCAACTCCAGAACAAATGGAGAAACATTGGATAGGTGTTGCACTAGCGGTGTCTGGAGTGCTGACAATTGTGATTACTGGAACAGTTTACTGTTGCTTCAGGAAAAGCAGAAATGAGTTCAAAAGCAAGAAGCTCAAAATGACATTCTACAGAGAGTAAGTTTCTTTGTTGGTTTTAGTAAAGCCTAAGCAAATATTAGTGTTGTGAGCATCCACCAATCTTTCCCCCAAGCTATATGTCTAACCTTAAGCTAATGCATTACATCATTCAATTTACATTTTTTTTCTTTTAAAAGTTAAATTTGCAAGTGTAGTAAGCCCAGCAGAAATCATCTTACACAGTGAGCAAATTAATGCATTATCAATGCATAATAATATTATTTTGTGAAATGCCATGCTTCTAGGTAAATGTCTACTCCCGTGAGAAACAGAGTTTTGTTTCCTTCAGATCATTAGATGTTCCCATGGCCATAAAGCAAAGGGTAACATTGACATTCAAGGGGAAACAAAACTCACTGTTTCCCATGGGAGCCCTAATATTATTATTGTTTTCTTATCCCCCCGTAACTGAAAAAAAACTCACTATTTTCTTTACAACTCACGATTACATTTTTAAATTTTCCTTTGCTGGAAAAAAAGTTCATCAGAAATGCATTGACCTTCAAATATCAACAATTTTACACCATGATTTGAGGATTTCTTGGGCATAGTTTAATAATAATTGACTCTCCTATATTTTGTTGCAGGGATGAAGATGATGAGGCTCGTGTAGCATTTCTTCACTCGCGCACCTGACGATGCAACAATAATAATTGATATTCTGGCAGATTGTGCATGCTCTATACTAGTCATCTTAAAGACTTCAACATGTTGTCTTGATAGTGCAGTCGAAAAAATAACCTGACCAGGCATTCTGGTCCGGAAAAAACGAAAGTAACATTTTGGATAATGACAAAGTGTTTTCTTGTTCTTGCCTTGTCACTGAAAACCAGAGTTCAAAGTTACATGTAAAAGCTGCATTCTACTTTTTCAGAAATTTCCCATTGGTAAATTAAGTAGTTTAAATTTGTTGTAAGAATAGTTTTGATACCTACAACAGGACAATAGTTTTGGCAATTAAATTCTTACCATTACAATCAGCTTTACTTAACTATTTTTCTAACAGTGGGAATCAAGAATTCAGTCTTCTAGCCACAAGTTTTAAAAAGTCACTAATCAATAAGAAAAGTTTTGAAAGCCAGGTGTACAAAGTAATAGTCTGTATATTTTACTCATTCAGACAATTTAAATTCTCTTCACTGTCCTTTCAAGACATAGTGAAATTAGCTTTGAATGTGATCAGAGTTTTGACAATAAGTGATATAATATCAATAGTCTGTAATTTTCTTTGAGGAGTTTTCATTTAATGTCATACTGCTAGAGCAGTTTTCAATCGAGTGTCAAAAGTAATCAGGCAATTATACTTTAGTTTTGGTTTTACCACAGTTTGAAATTGACGGAGCAGTCTAATTGTTAAGTAATTAGTTTGGTTTTGGTTTTACGACATGCAGTTGAAAACCACTCTAACCTTTCATCTTATATTAAGAATGATAAAAAACAAATACTCTCCATAGAAATTCAGGATATTCCTCTCGTGCATGAATTGGGTAATAATTGGGTTATAAAAATGGCTTCTACCACAACAGAAAGTAATGCACTTGGTTATTTGGCAATATTTGCATGGTGTTTTATAATTAACAATTGAATCATGAGCTAACTCATAGTCCAATTTTATAATTGCTCAGCTAATCAGATCGCAGCATTTGCATTAGTTTTCTAGTAGAATTTTCAACTAATAAGAGATATATTTCCACAGGATAAACTTAAAGTATTTCCACACAAAATCCTATTGTATAAAATTATCATGAAATAGAAAGCTACTATTGCAAAAAAAAAGTAGACAATCTTTACTGAAAGAATCTTATTTGTAAAGGGATAAGACAAAGAGAATTAAATGCCTTAACAAAAAAAACGAGAAACATAACCTTTGTAGTTGAAATTAATGTAATAACATTATGATAGGCAGAAGTTTCTTTTTAATTTAATTAGAACTTTGGCTACTTTTTGCTACATTTTTATTCCTTTATGTTAATTTTCTTAAATTTTTGTGTAAGAATTGACTCTGAGTTTGTCTCAATAATGATTCATTTTTGGTTTAAAACACCTATTTCATGTGTACATGTAATTTAAAAATTACAGTAGTGACGTATTTTTATTATTAATGCATGCATGTTGCGCTTCAAATAAAGTCTCTGGTGATGTAATATTTTGTTCTTGATGTTTCTTAAATACAAGCAAAGACTGGTATCTGTGATAAGTTTATGATCTTCACCTTTAAGAATAGGCCGCTTAGTTCAAGACTTGGTTTCTATATCAGTCTGTAAAAATTCAGGTCACTGGTGATGTGTTGTTCCAAAAATATCAGTTGTAGGTCAAAATGAAATTCAAATTCAAATGAAAAATAATTCTCTTGACTCTAATTTTTCATGGATTATGAATAATTAGGATTAAGAGACTGAGGAATTTCATTTTAACCTAAATTTCATTTTGACCAACAACATATCCATACCCTTCCCTCTGCAACAGAATCATCTCGATGCTGTTTCGGTTTCACACTCCCTTCCATAACCCTCCAGAAATTCCAGTTTTTACCAGAATCGCTACTAATCTCGCAATCTGATTGGCTAATTTGCCGTTAACGAAGAGAGTCTAGACAATGCTGCTTGCATCAATGTGTCACGCAATGCCTTTTCCAGCATGCGCTCTGAAAAAAAAACATTTTCTTTGACGTTGATATTGTGGTCATCACAGTCGTCAAAATGTTGTGGACTCACGAGGCACAGCCTCATTCAATATGTTACTAAGCTCAAACACAGTTTGGCTTTTAAGAACCCAACCCCATAAGAATACGAAAATTATGACCTTCAAAGGGGTGAGTATGAATCTCTTCTGGACACAGTCATGTCTTGTGTGAGGCTGTGAAAATGCTTGCTCTAGAAAGCCCAAACAGTTGAGGAGGTTTAAGTGCCATGGCAAGTATTAACATGTGTAATCTCTGCTACATTTTTTTACCCCTCTTATCCTCTTCAGGATCTTTGATAGGATGACTTCCAATTTCTAATATAAGGTGTGCTTAAACACAAATGGTTAACCTTAATAGCACTTGGGTTAGCCTAAATAGTGTTCAGGTTAGCATAAATATCACTGGCTCAATAGTGATTAGTTCTCAATAGTTGTAAGGGTTTAAAAACACCCTTACAGACACCCATATCTCACATTGACTCTCACCAGCAGTGCCAATTAAATTGATCATTTTGCCATTTCATGTTTTAAACAGACCCATCATCCACACAACAAATTCAACCTCAAATTACACAAACATGGTCTATTGTATTTAAACCAAAAACAGTAAATACATTACTAGTAACATGTAGTAGACAATTTACACCTTTTTTTTTCACATCAAGAATGACACCAAGAGCTCTGAGCTAATACGGACTTGCTCTATGCAATTAAAACATCAACCAGCCCTACAAACATCTAACAATCCTCTCCACATAAGAATGTCACCATGAGGTTCATTATTAAATCAAGAACAGTAGCTATTTCAGGAGTGCAATTATTGGATTTTTTTATTATTGACATTTAAGACTGCAGAAAACTACATATTGTAAAAATTTCTCCAAAGTGAAATCGGTGTTAATAGTAATAACACATTTTTGAATTAGTTAAATGTCATCCTCACCATCTCTGGAAGAAGACAGTCTTCCCATCCCGTCCATGAAGAAGGGAAGTTTATGCTGTCAGAAAATCTTGTATGCTGTTTTGATCTTCTTACGCACTGTGTCTGTACACAAGATCCATTTCATTCCACCATGCAAATCCCAATCCCAAATGTAAATACAGCTTTGTATTGCCAACACATATCGCTGATCAACAAATATTCACAAACCAGAAAACCAAAGCAACGAGTAATTTTTTGT